ACACAGAGGTGCAGGTGATATATTAATAAAAGACAAAATCAAATTGCGGTGAATTTCACAAGAATGCGGTGAAATTCATCGTGAAGATGTTTATCTTTATGATAATGAGAGGGAAAAAAAAAATTCAATGATGGTACATGTTATTCCTTCTTCCAAAGAGAATAACTAACAAATAAAGAATATGAGGCAACTCACGGCTCGGGGCACCTAGGGCTCTAGAGGGGAAAATTACGGCAACACTAAGGTCATCGTTGAACAACACGGCTCTACTACCAGTGTTGGAAAAAAGAAGGAGATGAATTCACCGAAGATCCCAGATATTGATGGGCAATGTAGCTAGACTTGTGTTTCGTAGTGGACCCAAGGTTTCTCTAGAATGATTGAGAATTGTCTTATTTTTCTTTGTGCTTTTCCATGCCATGAAACCCTATTTTATGGTGATATGGGACGGCTGTTCTCTAATGTTTGCCTTTCATTTAAGAAATCTCCGAGAAGTAGCTCTTAATATCTAAAAGATAGGAGAGTTATCCACTATTCATTGAAAAAAAATGTTTCTCTATCTAAAACTCCTATTAAAGATAGATAATAATTGATACATAATATATTTTAAAAAATATTAATTAGATAAATAAAAAATATGTGGCATATGTGAGACCCTATGGCCACACATACCAAAATTCAGCCGTCGTCAACTATTCGGCATGGGTTCTAGTTTTGGAGACAACTTACATTAATTACATGCCAAAACGCAATATTTTGAGAGATTTGGAGAAATTATCGAAAGAAAGACCTATATGATCTTTTGCTTGGGAAATACATTTTTTTTTTTAATAATAATCACCCTTTATAATTTTGGCAACAAGATCACTCACAGATGGTCTTATTACAAATAATAGAAATTCCAAAAATAAATAACACATCAATAAAATAAATCTAAACTACTTGATGCCATTCATACAACCTAATATTGTGCTTGAGAATATAAAATAAAGAACAAGTAAGTATAAGATAAATATGCCAGAGATTACCTTAACCGGGCTTCTTATACCCCACACCGAGTCACCACATTCAATAGCGTGGGATCTACGGTCTAGTTTCAATCTCAAATCGGAAAAGGTGATTTCAGTCAAACTATGTAACCACCCTTAATTCTTCACAAAACCCTAACCTCCAAAAATAACTTAGGCTTCCCTCTAATTTCTACAACCTTTAGTTTCTTTTTAGTTTAGTAGCTAGAGTTGGAGCGAAGCCCCCCCTTTGAAACTTTGGGAAAGAGAGGGTCAGAGAGAGAAACTCATAGGCGAGAGAGTGGGGCGTGCCCCACAAAGAGATAAAGAGAATTGGAGAGAGAGAGAGAGAGATTGTTATTATTTTAGAGATGAGAAAGAACTCTCCTATTTATAGAGAAAATAAGATCTAGGGTTTTCCATAGTTTGCCTCTTTTACGAGATTGAATATGTACCGTTGATCAAGGTGACGTGTGGGGTGAGAGATCTGAGTCATCCATTCTATAGATGGGCCATCAACATTATGGAATATGCTTCGATCATTATCTCCATTTTCTTAAACCATTTTTCCATCAATATATTTAGATAAAATAGATATCATGCATTCCATAAAAATAGCATGATCATATCACATATTCCATAAGGATATGTCAAACATTATCAAGTAAATAAATACTACAAAATTTTTTAAACAAGATCATGTCAATGTTAACCATCTATTCAAATTGACCGTACGTACCCCTTTTAAAGCATACTTATCAGATTACAAAATATACCATGCCCGCTATAACCTTTCCATGATTTGACCACATGCCTCAAATCAAAATTACTATAATCTTAAAGACCATGATCACAAAGAAACAAGAGGAATCCAAGGGTGGGGCATGCCACCCCTTTGAAGCACATGTGGGCACCCACCCACATGCCACATGGTGGGCCCATGGGCACTTTGGGCCCCCCATGGAATTTTATAAAAAAAATTTAAAATTAAATAAAATGAATTAATATATATTTTAATTTTTACAACTTTGTAAAATCAATAACTGTGTTCTTATAAGTCCAAAAATCATAATTAAAATATTGAGAGATTCATAAAAAATCAAATAATAAAACTAAAATCATTTCAATAATAAAATGAACTCAATTAAATTAATATGATGGGAAAATGATTCATATGGTTTTAGGAATTCGACCTGGAACAATAGGGTACTCCACCTTCAACTGTGAACTACAGACCACACTAGCTTTATCGAACCGACCTAGTGTTTCCCATGGCCCACAGTCCAAGCAAGAGCTCATTAGAGGGTCACCAAAGTTAGGTTGATGAATCAAGGGGTTGCAATCTCAGTCAGTGGATTCCAGGTCCTCCCCTAGAGACGAGTCAAGGTCACCACGACCTGATGCGACTACAGCTTTATGGTGCATAAAGGTATCTCTCGCACATGCATACGCTTCACCCAAAGGTGGATATCTGATTTTCTCAAACGATCTATCAATATGCATGCCGTGTAATGAAACATGGATGATGTTTTGGCCCCCGTCTCAATAGGCCTCCTACCACTATACACAAGGGACACACAGTCCGTTAGCTCTCTCATCTAAGCATAAGCTCTGACCTCATCAAGGACTAACCCAAAACCCTCCTCGGTTAATTCTTTATGCTCAGGTACCTTAGGTCTTACAACTGACTGGTCTAGATCGATAAACACAGTCCGGTATTAGCAAATATCATTCACTAAGTATGGTCCTCGAGGGACCACACTTCTACTGAGTTTATGTTTCACTATAATAAAAGTATTTCAATACACATTCATAAGGCCTTTAAAAGCCACATAAACCCAACAATTATTGATTGTGGGGGGATTGGTATGGGAGGTAGGCTGAAAGCATCATAGTACATTGTGAGAAATTTGGAGAAACTATTGTAGTACTTGTGGTCACAGATAATTACTACATCAGTTCCTTCCCTTCTGGGGGAAATGTGAGGGAGTGTCATGACAGAAAGAGAGCGTGAAGAGAGTGAGTTAGAGAGAGAGAGAGAGGCAGGGGTGATTTCCGCATAGAGATAATGGATGAGATGATAAAGAGATGGGAGTAACAAGGAGGAGATGGTGCAATGCGAGAGAGAGATGGTTTGGGGGGGGGGAGAGAGAGTGTGTCTTGAGTTTTTTGGGTTATGTATTTTATAGAGGTTGTTACGCATTGAAATGTTTTTTTTATCCATTTGATGTTATTTTCTTCAAAAATTACGAGAAGCACTTCACCTCTACGATACTTTTACTTTTTCTAAGAGGAAGGGTTTCTATGCTTCCCCTACAGCATAGAAGTTCTATCCTCCCCCTACTATCCAGCCGTCCAATTTTGATCAAGAGAGCCACTCAATGTTTGATCTTAGATCTGACGTCTCAAAATATTTTATTTTTAGGTTTTTTTATACGAATTGTATAAATATGAAATTTGGTACGTGTCATCTTCTCATTGGGGCTCACCTATAAAAAATATTAAAAATAATTTTTCGATAAAATATAATGATCAAAATACCCCTTGAATCTTTCAAGGCTAGTTTGGTCATTTTATTTTATTGAAATATATTTTTTTATATTTTTCACAAGTGCGAGTTTAATAGAGGAATGAACGTCCAAAATTTGGTATCAAAGTATTTTATAGAAAAAAGTTAAAAATAAAATAGTGTAGAGACATGACATTATGATTGGAGCAATCTTAGCTCTCCATTTCGAATGGACGGTTGGATAAGGGGGATGATAGAACTTCTATGTTGCAAGGGAAGCATAGAAAGCTTGCCCTTTTTTTAAGTTGCTCGCATCCCCAGCAATAACAAGACTAGGTTCTTTCCTTTAGACCCCTCGACAGCCTTATCAAAAGGTATTATACTCCTTCAGGAGTATATTGTTGATTTACTCCCTCAAGTAAAGCTACATCTAGGATTAATTTAAGGAACCCAAATTTTGAAGATATAACCTCTTCAACCTATAAATTAACCTCAATAAAAAGCTTTTCTAATTGAGCCCTCTATACAATTGGAAAAAAAACAAAAAAACTGCCTCAAGATTGAATAGAGACTGTCTAATTTTTAGAGGGTAAGATCTAAGTATTAGTAAACTCAAATTTCAAATTGTAGCTTTTTAAAATAATCATTTAGTGAATTATTAAGTGGTTCCCAAAATTTTAAATTCAAAAGTATCCTCCCAAGTAGGTCTTTTTACTGAGGGAGTAAATTTATACTATACTTTCCCTAGAGTATGTCCATTTTATTAATTTAACCGCAATGCATTTAAGGAGCGTGTTGGGTTTATTACTGTCTGCGCAACTTGGAGAAAACAAAAAACACAGGCGAGAGGGGTGCTCTTCGTAAGTTTTGAGAAAAATAACCACCCCTCTTCGTAATTTTTGAGAAAAATAACCACCCCTCTTCGTAATTTTTGCGAAAAATAACATTAAAAGATAATAAAATGACACAAAAGGTGCAAGTTCTACTTTTTCAAAGAAAACATTTTTTGGACCCTACTTTCTTGGCATTGCCACCTCACACTCCCCCATCCAAATTTAACCCACCTCTCACACCGAACATATCCAAAATCAAATGTGTTGGACCTGCACATATATACTAAAATTCTACCGGTCAGGTTTGGGGTTTCTATAAATCTCTCAAATAAATAAATAAATAAATAAAAATGTGTAAGGGTCAGGAAATTTTCACCGGGTCTTTTGGTATGGATTTGAAAAGGTCCGGATAGTACTTGGGGAAGAAGGTGCCAGCCACATGATTTACCCCTAATTAATTGTACAAATACGTGTTATGTGCTATTTAACATGGATGAATGTAACAAACCCTAAAATACGCACAAGATTGACCTTAGGCATGGACGTGCGCTTCTCGTCAGATGGCGCTGTGCCCACAAACCAAGTGCCAGAAATTAGAAAGTATCCACCTCAGGGAAATTTAGTCATCCCTTTCTTTATCTATATAAAGAGGGGATGAAGTGTTCATGTTGGTGGCCCACCTCTTCTTTGCTGATACAAATTCAGTAATTAGAAGTAGAAGAGATGGCAGCATATTGGTCTGGGCCTCTCCTAGTCCTGGGGTTGTTGATCCTGCAAAGCCCGTCATGGGCAGTGCAGGGGGACGATGCGCCTCCTCCAGTCTTCTTCTTTGGAGACTCAATCTTGGACGTCGGTAACAACAACTACCTTGATACGCAGGCCAAGGTCAATGTGACCCCTTATGGTATTGACTTCCCTGGTGGGAGGCCTACTGGAAGGTTTACTAATGGCCTCAACATTGCAGACTTCTTAGGTATGCACTCTCAACCCTACTCTTCTCTCTCCTCTATCATTTTTTTCTTCTTTTGGTAGTTCAGTGGTAGGAATTGAGCTTTGGCTTTGTGTGGTTAGCAGCTGATCTCGCTTTCTGGTAACAAAGTCCTGAAATCGATTCTCGCAATAACATCTCATGGATCATGTCCATGTGGTTTTTGCTTCCTTCATATACAACAGATGATTATGTTTTATTGATTTCCTTCAACTAATTTGCTCTCTCTCCCCCAAGAAGTAAGAGTCAGAAAGATAACTTCTCCTTTGAATAGTATGCATATTCAAATTGAGTCGTAGTGTTGCAACATTGAAGCCCAACCCTGAAACATGCTCATAGGGCATGTCAGCTCTGTTTGGTTAATGAGGTATCCAATCGGACAAATCCTTTTGTCTTTTTCTTTTTAGGGTAATTCAATGGTAGGAATTGAACTTGAGACGTAATTTTGCCTACGATCTCATGATAAAAACTCAAGTCCAACCCAATTCCTACCGATCGTTTATCTACCATTGGAATCAAAGACCAAATAACCACCAAAAAGGTAAGAAATGCTTAGTTTCCTGCTACCCAAAAGAATGATGTTTAAGTTTTCAAAATATACCAAAGTAACAAAATTTGGTTTCCCCATGATGTAGAGTCGAGTTAGCATTTGAGTAATAATATGGTCAAAAACTCATATTTATTTAAGAAAAAAGTTTATATAAAGTCGATGATCAAACCAATGAATTTAGGGCACACCTCAAAAAATCACTAAACCAGGTTGTTTTGAAGCCAAAAATTCCTCAATTTGATCATCTCGACCTCAAGATGTAGGGACATGAGAAAAAATGGATATCAAGTCTCAGAAATAATACATCTTGTAATGTATTTTCGGATCGTCAATTTTCAAGATTTTTAAGCTTGATCTATTGTTGATATTTTAAATTTTATAATTAGAGATCAAAATAACTTTTTACGCCATCACAAAAATTTTAATTGGTGAAACAACATCTTTCTGATACTATTTGAAGGTGAGTTTTACTTTGATTGTTTAGAGACTAGGCCCTATGAAAACCAGACCTTTTATTTAATATAGTGGTCGTAATAAGAGACGTAACGGCCATTGCATTGGATTGGGCATAGAACGTACTAACTTTTCAAAATAATAACGGTCATACGATAAATATAACTGTTTTTACTCGACCAACGACGAGCGAGGGCCTTGACAAGCCGAGTTGTTTGGAATGAGGTCAAATTTGGGGAATATAAAAAGAAATATAAAATTTAAACAAATGAGAAATATATTTGTTAAATATTTATTCATGTTTTCTATCATTTGGACAAAAATTGATTGAAAAGTACTGTAGCCGTGAATACTTAATGTAATATTTTTCATCTATTTTAAAAATTTTAAAAATACCCCTCACCCCTCGTTATGGACTCATTTTTTTAAAATCTAATTTTTTACTATTTTTTTAACCATAATAAGGTGTGTTTTGTTAAATTTTACTTTGAATATATTTTTCCTATTTTTTAAAATGTCTTATATTTTTAAAAATTTTCAGATGCTACATTACTTGGCCCTACTCAAACAAAATTACTCAGAGTTGGGCGAGTACTTGGCTAGGACATGGGTCGAGTAGTCGGCCCGAGACAACTTTTCTAATATTGGCTTTTAGTGGATATTTTCCTAAATATTTCCTTTTGGTATTTAAAAAGTGTCTCTATCAGTGTTCACAAAATCAAATTGAAATGGTTAACTAGACCATGTGCCCAAAAGCGGTTTAACCGGCTTAACAGGTAAACCGTCCGATTCAACCGCTCTAACCGGGCAAGTCTCGAGCGATAAAAAAAATATTGAAAAAAATAAAAAAGATATAAAAAAATTACTAAAATATGAAAAACATATAAATAATGATTAAAACGAAACACATTCAATAGAAATTGAAAATTAATGAAAAAAACAAAAAGGATTTTTAATAACCGGGTCAAATCTCCAACTTCCAACCCAGTTTTGAAAAAATAAAAGAAACGAGGTCAAATCTCCAACTTCCAACCCAGTTTTGAAAAAAAAAAAGAAACCAGGTCGGAACATGAGGTTTTGATCCCATCTAAAAAACAGCGGTATCTATTTTTAATCAGCGGGTCAAGTCTCCAACTTCCAACCCAGTATTTTAAGAAAATATCATGTCAGAAATTGGAGTTCCAACCCAAAAACTTGGCCAACATCAGAAAAACAAAATCAGGATGGAATTTGGAGTTAGGTTGCGTTTTGGAAAAATTGAAACAATTTTAAAACAGGAACATTGTTGTAAATTTTATAATACAAAGATCATTCTTAAAATATTACAAAAGAAGGGATATTATAAAAAGGGCGCGGTTTCTCTAAAGTTGCATCCTTAAACGATCCAATTAAGGCGTACCTCAAAATTTTATCATAACATGTAATTTTGATGTAAAAATTTCTTAGGATTATGTAAAAATCTATTTTCATATGTAATTATAAAATTTTAAACTCCAATGAAAATCTTGAAAATGGACGGTTTAGATAATGTGTTGGAAGATGCACTATTTTTGGAACTCAAAATCTTATTTATTAATTTATATATATTCATATATCTCAATGTCGAGATGATCAATTAGAAGGTCTTTCAACACTAAAACAACATTTTCCAATAGATTTTTGAGGTGCATCTGTAATTCTACATTTTAAGGTTGCAACCCTATATAAACTTTTCTCTTATAAAAAAGAAAATATATATAACGAGACCATTTATCTTTGGTACAAGGTGATCACATTTGATTTTGATCATTGGATGTTAAATTAGATGGCTGCATTTATTCTATTGACCAAGCTAAACTTCAAAAGAAATTATCTTGAACTTTGTGACACATCCAAGTTATTAAATTTCAAATTGGATGGTTGTAAGTAATTGTGACCTCTTTGTATCAAAGGCAAATGGTCTCTTTGTATACAATCCCCATAAAAAATTTCCTAAATGTAAAAGATAATTTTTGCAAAAAGAGATGGTATAGTGGCCACATCATGTGGACGCTTGAATAATGCACAAGGTACCCTTCAAGGATTCACTTTGAAAAGGTACCTTGCAGGGCTTCATGTGAATGCTTTAAGAGCATCCATACATCTTTGTAGGCCGCACCTAATAAAAAGAAAAAAAAAAACAAATGGTTCGAGTAGAATGTTTGGTGGTTTGTTCAAGTTTTTATTGGAATAATTTTTTTTATGCAATGCACCTTATAGATGTACATGTCCGCACAAATTTTCACGTAAATTGAATTTATAAATAAAATTCATAAAAGAATTATTTTTTGGCTTTTAGATTGGCTAAGGTTGAATCTAGTCCGTAAAAAAGGTACCTCCTATGTTGTACTTCGCCTGTCAATAATATTTCTTTTCCAAAAGTAACACTTCGCATAATATTTTCTAAGATATGACATTTCCATGTTCTCTTTTGTTCTTGTTATTCCTTTACCATTTATTTTTACCCTTTAAGTGTTGTTTCTTACTTCCCCAAATATATCAGTTAAAAGGTCCATGGACGGGCCTCGCTTTGGGAGGTCGGGACTTTGAACCATGCATGTTCCGGAATTCCAATTTAGTTTTGCGGAAGGATGATCCCGTATACCAAATTAGTCATTAAAAATTTAAAAATTGAGAAAAATAAAATAAGAGGGGTCGGTTCTGATGGTTCTCTGACAAAACTGATTAAAACTAATCATATCATGGAAAGAACAGGCCGCTTCCCGATATTTAACTGGAACAGTTTCTCCTTAGAACCAATAATCTAATGGGAAGAACCGGCAGGTTCCCGATATTTAGAGGGAATAATTTATCTTCCAACAAGTCCCGATTCGGATCGGCTGGTTCCAATCCGAATTGGCGTTTTTCTAAACCTTGCTCATTATCAATGACAACCACGTCATTTCATGGAGAAGGGTGTTTTTTCTTTTAGATAATTTAGTAGGGAAGACAGGCTCCTACCCGTTTTTTAAGTTGATTAGGAGTTAGCTTTTTGAAAGTATTAGTGGAGTGGTGTTTAGTAGTGAGAATGGAAACCACAACGTGGTGACCAGTTAACATATCCAATAAATTTTTAAGTGCTTCACGCTTCTTTAGAAGGAGATTCATGAAATATTCAAACATATAATATCTCAAATATCTTTTGATCCTAAAGGAAAGGGTTTTATATAAGATGTCATATTTATACTATAAAATAAGGCGCACCACCTAAAAAATCCATTACGTAAGAATACCTGCAAATTGTTCATCTTGACATTGAAATCTAAGGATATGAAGACGAGGTGAATTGTTTTAACATTTTACCTATATCTTAAAGATTTTCAAAAACTACATGATCAAGAATTGAAATAGTGGATAATGGGTAAAGTGTTAAATAATTGATAAGTTAGTTGTATTTGACAAGTTTCCTCTAAAAAACAGCACTTCAGTCCAAAATAGTGCCTCTCTTTTTTAGTAGTTAAAATATTGCATCTTGTAACACACTATCTTAAATGTCCATTTTGAATATTTTCAAGTGTTTATAAACATGTTCAACCTACACTATTAGGAGCTTTTTGTAGGGTTCAATTTAAAAGATGGGTCCATCATTCTTTTGATCAAATTTTCAATAATGCAATTTTTTTTTAAGGTAATAGCATTACTTTTAAAAGTAACATTGCAGTGTTCCACACTATCCATTTTAGTTAGACAATGTAGATTTGAATGTCTTTCAAATTTTCAACACTATCTCAAAAGATGTTCAAGGGTCTTTAGTAATTTAGTCATTGCCAGCAGTGGATATATTATAAGACAGTAGAGAAAATTTGACATTATATAATAGGGCAAGCTTTCTATGCATCCCCTACAAAATAAAACTTTTATACTTCGCCTTATGCAACCGTCCATTCTGAATGGAGGGCTAAGATTGCCCCAATCACAATGTCACGTCTTTACACTATTTTATCTTTAATTTTTTTTTATAAACGTTTTTGGCACTAAATTTTGTACTTCCAATCCTCTATTAAACTCGCACTAGGAAAAAATAAAAAATAAAATATTTTCAATAAAATAAAATGATCAAAATGCCCTAGAAAATTTTAAGAAATTTCAAGGGTAATTTGGTCATTTTATTTTATTGGAAATAGTTTTTATATATTTTTCGCTAGTGCGAGTTTAATAGAGGATTGGATGTTCAAAATTTAGTGTCAAAATAGTTTATAGAAAAAAATTAAAAATAAAATAGTGTAGGGACGTGACATTGTGATTGAGGCATTCTTAGCCCTTCATTTAGAATGGATGGTTGGATAAGGGGAAGTATATAGGGAAGCATAAAAAGCTTGCCCATATAATATAATATAGGGGTGCAATTTGTACAGTGCCTAGGCTCTAAACAATCAAATTAGAGCCTACTTTCAAATAGTGTCAAGAAATGTGGTTTCAATACTGAAAATCTTTGTGATAGCCTTAAAATATATTTTCATCTTTATTTATAAAGTTTGAAACTTCAAAAATAGTGTAGATTGATAGATCTATGAAAACTTGAAAATCATGAAAATTGACGGTCCAAAAATGCGTTACAAAATACTCTATTTCCAAAACTTGAAATCTTTTTTTTTCTCATGTCCATACATCTTGATGTCAATATGATCATTTTGAGGATATTTGGGCATACAAAAAAAACTCTTATAGTGAAATTTTTTAAGTAGCCTCTAATTTGATTGTTTAGAGCCTTGGCTCTATATAAACTTTTGTAATTTTATAATTTGGTCATTGTCACTATTGGAACCAAATTACTAAAATTCCTGCTTTTCCAATATTTAAAAAACCCGAAACAAGAGATTTTAATGAAAGAGGTACATGGTCTGGTTTTGAAACTGGAAGAATTTATTTTGCGTAGGCTACTTAGTTTGAGACAAATGATGTAAATGCTGCAACTTGTTCAAGGTTTGACAATGGAATAAGAAATTTTCATAACCGATAGCGACATTTATATTGTTTGGCTTAAGATACTTAATTAAGGATAAATTATCAAAATACCCCTACTATTTAAGATTTGGGATAGTTTTTAACCCCCCAAAAAAAATACTAGAATGAAATTCATATTTTGAAAAAAGTCACTTTTTTCAAGACAATATTACGTAAATCGACGATTGTTATTACGTTTTCTTAAAGTAAAATTTACATTAAAAAATATCATTACCCCCCATGCAGAAGCATTTAGACGCATTCTTTTCAACAAGAAGCATTTAGACGCATTTTCAAAAGCGAAAATCACCGTGAGTCAAAATATTTTCGTTTGGTGATGTCTACCACCTATTAAAGGGAGCCGTTTATATAGAGCCGAGGCTTTAAACGATCAAATTAGACCCCACCTCAAAAATTTAACTAGGAGAAGTTGTTTTGATGATCAAATATCTTCAAATTGATCATCTCGACATCAAGATGCATGGACATGAGAAAAAAATGGATTTTAAGTTTTAAAAATAGTGCATCTTGCAACGCATTTTTGGACTGTCCATTTTCAAGATTTTCAAGTTTTCATATATCTACTTGATCTACACTATTTTTTAAGCTTTAAATTTTATTCTTAAAGATGAAAATTTTACAGTTATCACAAAGGTTTCTAGAATTGAAACCACATTTCTAGACACTATTTGAAGGAATGTTTTACATTGATTGTTTAGAGCCTCGGCGAGCACTTGACTGATGATTTTTAAGTAAAGCTAGCAAAACGCCTTCAATAATTATTAAATTGTGTTTTAAAGTGGACGATTCCAATCTTGGTTATTGATTTGGATGGGGAACCAGTCAGAATCGAGACAGTTCGAGACAGTTCCATAATGGTATAGGTCCTAGCTGCTCCCCACTAAATTTTTCTTCATATATTTTTTTTGTTATTTTTTCTCAAGTTTATCAAAATGTCTTTTTAGATCCCCTAAATCCCCACCCATAAATCCCTGATGTAAATTTCATTTTATTTTATTGATTATTTTTTTGGATCACCAATTTAGACTGAATCAACCCAGTAATCTCACACAAAGTTGTAGGGTCAATAATCCACCCCACCAATCAGGATTTTCAAACATTAATTAGAAGCATTTGCTCATATCTCTCTCTCTTTTCGTGTTGTTTAGTGGTAATATTTGCCTTTGGGATGAAGAGCTCCGGTCAACATGTTGAAGGAGTTCAACTTGTTGAATGTATTTGGAACGAACTTTCTAGGGTTTGAAGTTTGAACCTTGACCTCATTAATGGTCAAAGTACTTGTCCCTGTTTCTGAATATGCAACAAACGGTGAATTTGGAAATATATCATTGTCCTAAGGAATATTTGTTAATTCACACCTAAGTTAGACCATTTAACATCTTATTTATAACTTGTAATTCAATTTCAAATCATACACAGTATTTGAATTTATCAATCACAACTGCGGTCAACAAGTATCAAATTTCAATTGTGATCGAATTAAATTTCCCTTCTATGAACTATTCCATGTATTATTTATTTTTGACCCCCTCTAGCGGTAAAATGATTTTGTAATAGAGAGACCGGGCTGGTCCAGCCGTTGTTACATAAGCTTGACCTTCCGCTCAACTCAAGTCGTTACTTGGAACCAGTGTTCGAAAAAAAATGGCTATTTGGATCAATAATCACCGATTCAGATAGGGAATTAGTGGTGACCGATTTGGTTCTCTGACGGAAGCAGGATTTGGGTCCATATCATAGGTATTCCTTTGGTTCTATTAGAGAATCGGTGGTTACTGACCTGGTCCTTTGGCAAAATCAAGAACTGGATCCATTTTGTAGGTGCTTGCCCATGTCTGTTGGGGAATCGGGTGATTCAAATCTACCGAATCATTTAGTGGCAACATTCTTATAGAAAGAGAAAAACCAAATTAGAGAACCCATCGTACAAGCTCAAAGCCAAATATTTGATCATGGAGCCAAAGAGAGAGAAAGCCGAATTAGGGACAGTCTAATTTGTGAGTTTTTTAATCATAGGTTATGATTTCTATTTTCCCATTTTCATGATTATTTCTACCCTTTGGGGGCGTATGTCTTTTGAAAGACGTGTTTTCCATGAAAGTAGATATCACAAGTTCTATGGCTGACCATGGAACTTGCAGTATCCACATTTTAACCTTAAATATGAGGTGGCAATATCTAGTTTTAGTGTTGGACTTCTCCATTATCGAACAAGAAAGTGCTACTGTACTAGAGGACAGTTTCCAAAACCGTGTCATCCAAAAAACATACACACCCTTAGATATCATGTTACATGTCCTACGTGAAATCTAAGAAAATAAAACTTGGTAAAATATCATGGGGGAAGTTATGTTCATACTAAAAAAAGGAAACGAATTTTAGCAGTAGTTGAGAGCTTAAAAAAAAAAAAAACAAATAAAAACAAAAACAAAACAGAGAGAAATATGTTCTAAGTATTTCGTGGCATGCTCAAATTGATTTATCACCCATCAATCCTTTTTTGCCAGCTATGGAGGTGGGATTGAAGAGGAGCCCACCAGCTTTTCTCTCCCTCGTAGGCCGAGACTTCCACAAGCGTGTCTTCCAAGGTGTCAATTTCGCTTCAGGAGGATCGGGCATTCTTGAAAAGACCGGCAGCATCTTTGTATGCACTATCCTCTAAGGCTTTTATGCATTTTTTTATTAAAAAGAGTATAAATTAGTTACTTTTGGTACAATAAAGTCACAATCATGTTTAACCATTAAACGTGAAATAGCTCAAAGTCTTAGTGACTGAGAGTGTGTCGTTGATATAGCTCAAAGTCTTGAATATTATTGCATACCTCTGACATATGATGGCTAGGGATGGCATTTACTTTTTGAATTAAAAAGTAAATTGTCTTATAATGTAAAACCCCTTTTTTATATTATTTGTTAGGAAAACATAGGGATTGTTTACAAAGAGACCATTTACTTTTTGTAGAAAGATGTCACAACTATTCCCTCTCATTAGATGCCTAATTGAATGGCATGGGGTGAATCACGAAGTCTGAGAATTTTTTTTTAAACTTTATGTTTAATCAATAACACTCTTACAACCACTCATTTTGAAATCTAATGGCTAAGAATGATTGTGACTTCTTTATACAAAAAATAAATAATCTCTTTGTAGACAATTCAAAAAAACATATTCTAGGACCCCATGACAACATATACCCTATGGTTAGGATGACTAGAGTTTACAATGGCATTCTTTTCTCTATCTTAATGTTGCTTCTCTCATCATATATGATTTTTTTTTATGTATGATTTTAGGGACAAAATCTACCGTTGAGCTTACAGATCTTCCAGTTCACCACAGTCTACAACAACTGCACCATCAGAGTAGGTGAAGCTCAGGCCCAAGCAATGTTGGCCAACTCTCTCTTCTTCATAAGCACCGGAAGCAATGACATCATGCAAAACTTTAATCCCTCAAATCCCCCGACCTCAGACCAAAAGGACGAGTTGGTCGCGACTCTTGCCTCAACCTACAAGGCACACTTACAGGTGAACAAAAATCATCATCATAATCATCATCTTCCTTTTTGCTAATCTGACTAATTCGAGTGGATTTTTAGGAACTTTATAACATCGGTGCGAGGAAGTTTGCGATATTGGGTCTGTCAAAGATTGGGTGTATCCCGTCGCAGAGGTGGCAGAACGAGACTGGAGGCTGCATGGAGGAACTAAATGATGTGGCCCTAAGGTTCGACAATGTCATGGAAAATGTAATGTGTCAGCTTTCCTCAGAGTTGAGTGGAATGAAGTACTCGTTTTATGTTGGGTTTGACGTGTTCCTTGATGGTAAGCGCAGATAGCATTGTTCTTGCCATTTTTCTTTTGAAACCCTGTTGACATACGAAATAAACAATACCAGTTTCGGGGTTCCAGGCACCTGCCATACATTTTTTTCTTTATTAAGGGGCGGCAATGACTTGACAGTGTATAGAAAATCGACTCGGCCAATGTACTCGGCTTTTGGCTGAGATGAGTAACTTGGTCAAGTCCAGCATGAGGCAAAAACAAACAAAAAAATTGAAAAAAAAACCAATAAACATGTAGTAACAGTTAAAAGTAAATTGAAACCTAAAACAAAAACATAATTAAAAATGTAGAGAAAATGGATTTAAAAAAATCTGATTTACAGTTTGGGATATTTTTAAAAAATTAAAAGAGGAAAACATAAAACTAGTGATTATGGCCAAAAACACTCTTCAATCTTTACCAAATACATCCAAATCATACAGAAAGAGATTTTAAAATAGTCCTTTTTTAAAAAATATTTTAAAAATTTTTGAAAATTTTTTATATCCCCTAGTTGTGCAACCCAACTTGAGGAAATTTTGCCTCGCCCCACATCCTAATCACCAGAATTTGAGTGGACCCGGACGAGTTACAGTACATTGGTCTTTGATGCTTACTTTTCTAGGATCTACTAGGGGGTGGAAATAAAAAATATGCTCATGAGTTAGCATGGAATCTTTTTAGCATTCAAAGACCCGGACCCTAAGGTCAAACCGGGCATGGCATCATCTATCCAATACCCACCACACCCTCCCCCTATTCTCGCACATGCACAGTGCGCGGGCACACACACACAAGTATTCTTCTATCCCCTATTTTTCCATTTCAAGAAGTTACAATGGAAATGGAGGATTGATGGGTACATTTGGGTTTGATGTTGAAATATAAAAGTGGCAAACTATAAAAAGTGACAATTTACTTTTAATAGAATGATGTCACAATCACTCTTGTCCATTAGTTAAATCGGGTGGTTACGAGTGAGTCAGTGATTAGACTCAAAGTTTAAAAACAATTTCTCAAAATCTGCGACATGCCCCAAGCCCTCCAATTTGGGCCAGTAGCAATTGTAACCTCTTTGTAATAAAGACAAAAATGGTCTCATGATATACAATCCCTGTAGAGATTGATTGAGCCGGTTTTTTCCATGTCCTAGGGTTCGCTGAAATGGAGATTGCTTGCTGCGGATCAGGCAAATTCAATGGCGAGGCCCCTTGCTCTCCAAAAGCCAGTAGTTTATGTGCCGAGCGCAGAGACTATTATTATTGGGATGCCTACCACCCAACGCAGACAACAGCAAGAATGGTGGTGGACGTCATGTACAATGGCTCCCCACAGTACGTTGTTCCCATCAACTTCAAGCAATTATGGATGTCTTAGAGAGTGAGAGAGTCATGAAGAATGCATTGTTTTGGTATGAGTTCTGGTCTTTCAAATTAGTTTTTAGTCCCTTTTTTCTTCATTCTTTTCCATTCTTTTGTGGATGGAGTCCAACATGCTTGTCAAAGGAACTGGCCTTTTGTTGGCCATGATCGCCCTTTTTATTGTTTCCTCCCTTTGTGAATGAATGGTCAATTGGTTTCCTTTTTCTTTTCCTTGTGTCTTTTTTTTTTTTTTCTTTTTTTATGAATGAATAGTTTGTTGGTTTTTGGGAACTAGAAAAATGGTATTTGCATCTCTCTTTTTGTTTTTTTTCTTTTTTTTTAATCGCGAACATTAAATTCTACTTTTGCATGTCAATCCGATGTTCCAAATGGGGAATCGCTTTTTTATTTTGTTTTATTTAAATTTTTTGAAGTGCAAGGACCAATTCGTGGTTACATACCTTAAACCGCTCTTTGTGTGAAAATTGCCCAACCCAAGAGATCTGAGGTCCGAACCGGTCCCTAAATTGTGAATTTATTCGAGGGATTACTTTGAGGTTCCAGACCTTGAACCACTTGGCTTGTATGAACATTGTGCAAGCCAATATATCCGAGGTTCTAGAATTTGAACCACTACCAGGATTGTAAAATTTCACAATTCAAGGACCGGTCCAAGTTATTAGATTTCATACCGCTTGGCTTCCACAATATTCATGCTAGCTAAGCAATTCGAAGTCTAGAACCCCATGCCTCAGTCCCTACACTTCAAAGAAAAAATTAAAATAAAATAAAAAATAGTCTGATTTTTGGGAAACTAGTTCAAGGGGCAAAATCAAAAGGCATAAAAAAGTGAAAAAAAAAAACAGTTTGATGTTTGAAATATTGGACCAATGGATCTCTATATAAAGTTTAGTCCTCCATGTAATTACTATATTTAAATATGGTCCAAATGTAAATTTTCCTTAAAAAAATAAATTCTTAATGGGGGAAGATGGGCCACATTAACAATGTCATTACCTTAATTGCTTAAAGAAATATGACAATGCTCAATAGATTTGCCAATAACTATGCTATTAAAAAAAATAACATTTTAATATTAAATTAAACAGACGTGAAACAGAGTAAACCACAAATAATGATGAGTGTGCTCATGTTAGAGCCTGCACAAGATATCCTTGCTGTCTTCAAGGTATTCAACACCCCCATTTGATTTCACAAAGATGAGACTGAGATATGATGAGGATAACCCAAGATGCTATGTAATGTTAAAAATGCAAATACACACACCTATAGTGGTACAATGTTTCTCTCTAAATACGAGGAGGCATTCAACATAAACAAGATAAAAAGATAAAAGGTTAGGCAAGGATGTTATAATCTTTTGGACCATCATCATCATTTTAGCTTTTTTTCAATTAATTGGAATCGACTATATGAATCATGGTTCTCCATTATGTTTTATTGAAGGCCATATCCTCAATGAAGCAATCATTTGAATTACCTCTCTTGAACTACTTGAACTCCTTTTTAATATTTACTTCATTCACATACATACAAGTTCATACCTCTTTTCATTCACTTGCTTCACTTTTTTACTTACCACATATCTCTTTAAATAGATGTTCATATAATTACCGTAGAAGTGGTCTTCACACCATTTATAGCAATAACTACTCCCATTTACAATAACTAACACATTCAATAACCACTCACACTTATAATAACTAAAAACTCATTCAACCTATTACACAATTTCTAACTACTCTGCAATAATTACCCATGACATAAGATATGCACCTCTATTACAGACTACAATCCACCAAGTATTTTGCACCAATTTCTAACACTCTTTGTTGAATTGCTCATATAAGAACTTCAATAGTATTGCAAAGGTCTACATTTTCCTTCTTTAGTACAAACACAGTGGGTTAAAGGCTTTCAATACTCTCCTTCATTGAGTAAATCATGTGCTTCTCTTGTAATCTTTATGGTTTATTTTTCACCATCTTCAATTTCAATTATTTCCTCATTTTCTTTTTATATCTATAGAAAATCCTGAAATTCTCTTCTCTGTTTTTAGCTTATAGAAAAAAAAAAAAGATTATGATCAACTTTGTTCTTTATAATTTGCTATATAAGTTTTTCAATCTTTAGTTTTTTTGTAAAATTCATGATGCTTGCTTTTTGGAGCTGAATTTGCTATGTATTCTTAAAATCTTTTCTAAAAAACAAAGTTGTAAAACTTATTTTAAATTATTTTTTTATGCCATCACATAGCTTCAACTTTATAATTCTTTTTTTTTTCATTATGTTGTCTAAGCCTTCACTAGGCATCCTCACATTTTCTCATGGTGTGACACTCTAGAACTACAATCCTTTTCTTTGTCAAAAAATATTTTTTCTATACCTTCACATGGCATCCTTATACCTTTTCATGGATGTATGTGACACTCTACGACCATGGTCTTTTCTTTTCTCATTTTTGTTATTTTGGTTGTTTAGTGGTAGAAATCAAACTTGAGATGTAACATTGTGATGTCAGCTACTAACCACTCAAGCCCAAGTCCAATTCCTCATAGTGATATGCTCGGCATACAGTCTTCTTCTTTTTTTTTCTTTCTTTTTTTTTTACTTTTTTTTAATTATTTAATCTTCAATCATTCATGCCATACCCAAGTTGTTGTCGAATGAGGCTTTGATACCATGTTTAAAAGATTAGCACGCACACCCCTACAATGGTGCAATGTTTCTCCCTTAATACATGGAGGCATTTGGCACAAACAAGATAAAAAATAAAATAAAGGTTAATTGGGATGCTATGGTAGACCTCCTAATTACTGTTGGGTTCTCGTGAACCAGGAATCCCAAATACCGGGATCCCATCCAAGATCGTGTACATGATTGACTAAATGCGAAGTAGATGAATACAACTATAAATCGAGTGCGAATAATAATACACACCACAACAACACATGATTTACATGGTTCACCCCGTAGGGCTACATCCACGGCCTTAGCAACTAGAAATCCACTATCACAATGAAGATAACAGTTTTGGGTTAAAAGAGATAATACCTATCTCTAAACATCGGTAAAAGACCATCACCAATCTTCTTTTTTAAACCCACTCTCCCGACCGAGCAACATCGTAATCAACATCCTCTTTCTCACCCCAATACCGCTACTGAAAAGATTACCTCAAGAGTAACATAGAGATCTCTCTCTAAAAGTGGAAGTTAACAAACCCAAAACTCATGGGAATACCGCCCCTCTCTCAGAAGCCATGTCTTTCGCTCTTGGAGACTCATGTCCATATTAGAGATCCATTCCCACAACCCCCAAATGGGTAACCCTCAAAGGATGGGTATTATGTCATCATTCACTCTCTTATAAAGATATCACTTTTTTGCTTCCCAAGAAAGTCAATTTTTTATATCCCATAATACCGTAATCTTTAGAAACGAATATGGGTATGATGATTTAGCTGTCACCAAACCTAACAATCTCAATCTTAATAGCAAAATCACCATAATTGAATAGATTTCTTGATTTCTTCATACTTGCCTTCATTGTAGAATTTTTTATCCACTTCAAACCATGGATATTTCTTGATTTCTTCTCACTTGCCTCCATTGTGAAATTTTCACAAACACTTTTCCTTCATATTTCTCCACTGCAAACCACGTTTCTATAAAACTTCATCATTCATCTTTTTCTTAATATAAACATTAGCCTCGTATGCACCTTGTGCTCTAATACCAATTGTAGGGTTCTCGAGAACCCCTTAACTTACAGAACTGGGAATTTCAAACACCCGGATCCCACGCAAGATCGTGTACATGATTGTCTAAATGTGAAGTAAATGAATATAACTATAACTAGAGTGCGAGAAATAAAGAAAACATAAAAAACACACTACAACAACATACGATTTACGTAGTTCAACCCGTAGGGCTACATCTACGGCCTCGACAACTAGAAATCCACTATCACAATAAAAATTATAGTTTTGGATTACAATAGATAATACCTATATCTAAATATCGGTGAAGACTATCACTGATCTTCCCTTCTAAACCTACTCTCCTGACCGAGCAATACCATTGATCAACATCATCTTTCCCACCGCGCTACTGCTAATGGAAATATTACCTTGAGAGCAACATAGAGATTTTTTCTCTCTAGAAGTGGAAGTTAACGAACCCAAACTCATTGGAATACCACCTATCTCTCAAAAGCCATGTCTTTCTCTTGGAAACCCATCTCCATATTGGAGATCCATTCCCATAACTCCCGAAGGGGGGACCCTCAAAGAATGAGTATTATGTCATCATTCACTCTCTTATGAAGATATCACTTTCTTTCTTCCCAAGAAAGTCAATTTTCTATTTCTCATAATATCCTAATATTTTTTAAAAAATATGGATATGGTGATTTAGCTATCATCAAACCCAACAATTACCTGACTTGGACTACTTAGAACACCTTCTTCTTAATATCTATTGCAATCATTCACTTGCCTCGCAGTTTTGCTTACCACATACTCTTTAAATAGTGATCCATGTACTTCCTTAAAAGTGACATTTACCCCCAATACATTCAATAACTACTACACTTACAATAACTAACAGCTCATTCGACCCATTACATAAGAAATAACTTCGCTACATTAAAGGCCCATTACATGAGATAACCAGTTCTAGTGCACATTACAATCTCTTTGGTTTGTACGTCAAATGAATAGTTAGAGACACCACAATGATGCAGTTCAACTAAGGGTGGCAATTGGATCACCCAGCACCAGATCAAGGTCCGAGTCCTGGTCTGTTTCCAATTGGGTCAGGTGCAGCTCTAGGTGGATCTGACCTGAACATATGTATCCACACAAACACATAAACACACACATACACACATGTGTGTGAGTTTGTATATACATATATATTGTATAAGTATTTGAAACAGTGGTTTAAAAAATGGATCAGTATCCTAGATCAAGCACCCCAAAAACCCATCTGGATTGGTGAATCGGTGTTTCAGATCGAGAATTGAGGGAATCGACAATGTTTGTCCCAAAAAACCTTTAAAAAATCATTATAAATCTCTAAAAATAGTGTTATTTTAATTTCTAAAAGAATTTAGGAGGGGTGCATTACGTATTTTCATTACTTCGTAAAAATAAGTGAATACTGAGACGTTGTTTTTCTATCTGGATGTCCGTATAATTAAAATA